ACATATACTCAATTTTGAGTATTAATTTTCCTTCCCTTCATTAATTTTATGCAGGATCACTTGTATGAAACTACTAAAATGGTATCCTTGACAAACAGGAAACTATCTTTATGACATATAAGAAGTGAAGGAATGAGAATGAGAGATGATAGTAGGGGAGGGTTCATCCATGTAGCTCATTTCAAAGCCACCATCAAAGACTTGAGAGACATAAGTAGCCTAATTCCTATATCCGTCCCATTCAATTCTGATTCAATTGCTATAGACAGTTGATGGGTTCTAGATAATGCTGCTAAATCTCCAACAATGAAGAAGATTAGGTTTCCTTGGAGCAGACTCTTAGATGGAGATTTACAGGTAGCAAGTTTGTTATGGAATGCTCTTGGAATCCAAATTAATGGAAGGAAGCAAGACTGAGTAGGGTAAGGCAAGGCATTTTGTATCTTCTATGGAAGTCTCTGCCAAACTTGTAGGGAGTTCTTAGGCTCATCCCTCTCACCCCAATTTGAATCTCTCTACTAACCCACACCAATCACTAAATGTTCCTCTTTTCCTCAAGAAGGGGGACCTAACATCTGAGGATGTGGTCCTCTTTAGCTGAGGCAATTCCCTAAGAAAACTTAGAGCTAAAAGTACTGTCCTTGCAGAACTCTCAACAGATGAGAAATAAGTTATTTCTTGAGGGATATCTGTATAGTACATACAGAATCCCTCCAAATAATGTAATTTGGTGATGACTTAAATTGCAGGTGCTTTTCTGGATGTTTCTTTTACTAAATGAAACAATATGGCCCCTAGAACTTGGTTTGCAAATATTTGTTTGGCCACTGGATTTCTGATCTACTGAACTGGACTTTAAGCATGAAGTCTATAAATCTATAGTTTTACAAAGAATTCCAATGATTACTCTATAACCCATCCAAAGACTTACATTTTATAATCTTAGGTGTTCTATGGACATCTGTGGCTCTATTGTGGCCAGTGAAATGTTAATGGAAGTGTGTGTATAATTGGGGGATTTTCCCTCAAATGGAAGGAGCATGCACTACCCTTCTTCCATCTTTCTTTCCAGCTAACTTGAATAATAGTGAGATGTTAGGGGATAGAGGGAACCATGAAAGGCCATCAAGATGGAAGATGAGAAATGTGTGTTTAGAAGAAAAAGAAGCTACTAGGCATAGCCATACCTTTTCTGGATCACCTAACCAGTCATATGTCTGGGAGACAAATTTTTATTTCAGGTTTTCTGTAAATAGCTTAAATCATAATAGTACAGAGATAGTGGCTATCACCTCCCAGGTGAAGGGCAGGCTATTGTACTGTGTTCATCTACACTGAACTGGATTTTGGAAATATCAAGAAATCTATATGTATTTCTTATTTAGGTCTATTCACTGGATGTCCCAAGAACTGATAACTTTGGAAAGACTCTGACCAAAACAAAACCTATTCAAATGATCAAGCTTTCATTAAAATCTGATTTAACTTTCAATTTCATAATACATGGTGATCTAATGGTTCTGGAAGAATCTGCAGGAGAAAAATAATAATGGAGATAATGACAAGTTTTAATATAATCACAGCAATAAAGGCTTTGTAGGTTTTGGAGCAGAACCATGCCACTCTTTGGAGCAGCTGTTCTACTTCCCCAAACACTAGCTTTCTGGTAATATTGCAATGACAGAGCACCATGAACCAAAGTACATCTTCCTAGACTGAGAACTAGATTATCTACATACTTATGAAGTTAAACATTTGGAAGACCAATCCATTAATCATAAGGCATGCACCTAGCATGGGGCCCATTCAGGTCTCAAAGACAAAAATTGGATCCACATTGCCTACAATGTGCTGCCCCTATGTGCTGGACACCTTTCTCTGAAATTATAACTTTTGCTTGGAGAAGATGCTGTGAGTCAAATATGTTTCTCCATTCTACTCTGATACTAGCTGAGGGATACTACCTAGTGAGTTTGGTCTCCTGAAGGAAGAAGGTAACATTGGTGTGACAAGAAATTAATATGACACTATCTGCCATGTTCTAACTCCCAGCTAGCCACTTGTAGTTTCTCAAATTTCCCAGCAGGAGAGGCAGTCATGATAGTGTCTGTGATGATCAATTCTGACTATCAAGAGAAATTAAATCCCACAGTAAGGATTGAAATGTAGGCATGTTGATGGCCCTATGTTCTACCATTTCCTGAGGTAAAATTTATTGAAAAACTCCTAAAACCTCATTAATTTTGATTTTAGAGGGCTGAAAACCCTCATAATTCTGCCAACTGATTAACTCTGGTATGTCCTGAAAGGGGGAAAAATCTAATACTTGAGACAAAGATGTGAGATCTGGAATAGCCACCTGTATGGATTTATTATTTGCCTGTGGTGGATACTCTAACAACCAATATTATCCCCAACATTTGATGGATAGATTTACCATTAGTCCAAATGATGTAGAAAGTAGATTTAAAATTATAAATTGGATTTGTGTATATGTTGGGAAGGGGATAAATGTGAGTTGCACATTTTTAATATATATAAAAACTGTTATACAAGGTACACTTGGATATATATGTGCAGAAAGAAGGATGTGTGTGTGAGGCATTAAAAGAGTAGACTATATTGAAGATGACCATCATGTTAGTCAGCCTCAACTTGTTTTGTCATGTCACTGGTATACAGATATAGAGAAGAGGGTCACAGAAAATAGTTGTTTAGTTTTGGTTTCCAGCAGGAGATGTTAAATTCAAAGTGGTATGATATGTGTACTGTTGGTGATATAGACTAGAAATCCTCAGTGTATAAACACCTGTATTTTTATTGATGCAATCTGTCAGAGCCTGAGTAAAATAAGAAGAGGAATGGAATACAATTGGAGAAGCAAAGCTATCCGCACAAGGGGATTGCTAATTTAAAATGTCATAAGAAAAGCTAGAGAAACCTTTCAAAAAAGGAAGTATAGAAATTTCAAACCATACAGAGAGAACTTTAAAGAGGTATGGTATCCTAGGGGAGGGAGCCAGGGGAGAAGAAGTGGAAAAAGACACCAAAAACTACATTTTCAGTAGAGAGGAGGCAATCAAGGAGAATGGCCTAAAGAGATAATAGAAGAATCATGGTAAGACTCAGTTTCCACTTGACTCACAGAATTCTTATTGCCACAAAACAAATACACATGCTCACTAATTGCTTGCAAAGTTATATTTATTCTTCAGACCCAGTCAATAAGAAAAAGATGAGAGTTCTTAGAAAATAAATAGCCTCTTACAACTGTCATAATTATCTGGCCATTGATTGAGCTGAAGCAGTCTTAGCCTGTTCACACATATCTAAACAAGAGCAGGTAGTGGTGTGCCTGTATCTGTAAGATAGTGTGCTTCCATCAGGACAGTCGAGAGCAACGTCTCTGAACTCATAGTTGTCTTCTCGGCAGCAGTGGCATGAATTTTCCAACTGAAAAAGGTTATAATTGTACCTAAAAGAAAATAAAATTCAATAATAAATACATTTAAAATGTCATGACAGAAATTCAACATCAATGCTTAAATTGTAATTAATTGGTTGGAAGGCTTATTAAGTCACTTAAAGTACTCTCAGACCTTGCATTCCTTATTGCTGTAACTTCTGATAATTGGTACTTAAGAACAAAAAAAAAAGAACTCAAAGAGAAGATTTGTAATCATAATATTAAGGTATAAAAAGCAAACAGATTTTAAACAACCTATTTAGGACCACATTAATCTATATATAAAACTTCACATAAAGGAATGCACTTTATTGCTTAAGGTACTGACTGCAATCACTGCAGGAAGATAAATATATTTGCACAAATGTGTTGAGCCTGTTTAGAAAACTTGAGAATTACTTATTACTATTTAAAAATGTTTGTTTGCTCTCGTGTGGAAAAAAAAAATCTCCACGTTAATGTTTTAAAATCTCGATTTCCTCCACAAAGTCAATGCACAGTACACAAAGGAAAACTCACTTGAGAGTCCTTTTGCATTCACCCATACATTTTGCCATCTGGATTCTTTTCCTGCAACCATTGTACTTAACAGTCACGTTCACAGGAGAAGTTCTGCAATTATCCTTACCTAAAACAAAGAAGATTACAGGCAGGTGTGACATTTAATATTTTAACAATTGCTTATATCTCTATGGTTAAGAAAATGGAGGCTAATTCCATTAGTAATAGTTATTTTGAGGCCATTAACTAGCTCAGTAAAATGCAACTGGTTAGTACTAAGATAAATATTACCTCATTATTGCTCTTATCACAGATGAAAGAGAAAGGGACCAGTGGGGGAAAATAGGGAAATGGATTATTAGCAGTGAAACAATAGTTGTCAAAAATAATCCATCTGTGTGCTCTAATTCACCAATTTACAACACAGCTTGCTGATGTTAAGAGCTAATCTTCTATTTAAAATCTTTCACTGTAAACATAACTGGTGTTCACAGGGAAGAATGTTACAGCCAAGAAGAATGAGTAAATACATTAAGTATAAATAGTAATGGATAGTTTAGGTTGCATTATATGTTATTAAAATACAGGTAACTTTCTATTAAGAATTTCAAAATACAATGAAAAAACACTATCAACAGCTTATACTTTGTGTTGATGTTAACTTACATGTATAGCAACATTTTCTTGAGTCATAGATTCTGTCTTCCTGTAGGGGTGAGAGAAAAGAAAACAGATTGGAAAACTTTTTTCTCTAAATAATATACAATTTCTAATTAAGGGGGAACAGAAAAGATGAACATGCTGATGGCAGGTCTGGAGCAGGGGCAAGGAAGGAGGTGAGCTTGGGAATAAAAATCAGGCAGTATTTAGACAGAATTCAAACTTCAAATTATTTTTAAAGATAACAGCATGTAAAAACTTATTTCTTATTTCACATGAAAAATACTTCATCCCCAGACATTAAGCTTCTCAGTCAGGATCTATACCTGATCTTTGTTGTAATTACTATCCTATCGATGTGTCTCCAAATAAACTCTCAGTTGAAAACCAGTATTGTAGTTTAATAAGTTTAAAATTTTGTAACTCCAGAAAGAAAAATGATTAAGAATCTATTCATACAATACCTTCATTTTTAGATCATAGAAATGAAGATATTATGGCACAAGGGTATAAAAATACACATATATAATTATGGAAAATATTTCTATTTAATAACTGACATATTTTCTGTTGTGGCAGAGGGAAGTGATCCTGGAAATTGAACCCAGGGGCACTCTACCACTGTGCTTCATCCTCAGTCCTATTTTTTACTTTTTGAGATAGGGTCTTGCTGAGACTGACATCCAAATCACTATCCTCCTGTCTCCGCCTCCAAGTCACTGGGATTACAGGCATGCACTACCATACCCAGTTTATGATCTACTTTTTCTAAGATACAACTAAATTAAGTTTTATAATGCCTGTAAAACATAAGGACCTTCCTTGATACATCCACCTTTTTTAAGGACTTTTTATATCAGTAATCATCTGACTCTTAATTCAGTACATTTGTTTAAAGATCTATGCAATTGGGGTTGTGGCTCAGCGGTAGAGGGCTCTCCTAGCACATGCAAGGTGCTGGGTTCAATCCTAAGTACCACATAAAAATAAATATATTGTGTCCATATTTTAAAAAATCTTTTTAAAAAAGAGCTATGCAATTGATGAGATACATATCTATTGTCCAGATGCAAATTTTTTTCCAAATTTATGATAAACACAAACGACCTGTCTTCTTTAACATGAGAAGTCACAGTGCTGCCCACTAATTAAGAACAAGACTTACTTCTGCACACCAGCTCTGCTTGGGGCAGTCTTGGACCACCGCAACAAAGCCAGTACTGTTGCAGGAGTAGGAGACACAGGGGTTGCTGGGGTCATCAAATGAGGTACCGATCTGGAAGGAAAGGAGGGGGAGAATTATTATTTGTTTCAAGTTCTTTCTGGAGTCGACAGCTAAGCCAATAAGAACAAAAACAAAAAATTCACTATTTAGTGACTGTCTAGAGGCACTTTTAGCCATTAGGTTAATAGCGAATAAAGAATGTCTTCTACTTTTGTGAATAAATCAAAATTCTTCATTGAGAACATAAAGTGTCTCAATTTTTAAGAGAAAATTCACCGAATTTTCAAGAATTTTTCAAGAAAGCTTATTGTACAGTGAGCAAGCAGTTCACCACAATTGTTATATTCTAAGTTTGAGGGGAAATAAAATAAGATATCCAAGTAAGGGGAAAATGTCACAAAATCAATTTATTAGATTAGAACAGATGATAGATCTCTTCTCTCTTGACTATATTCCTATATGTTTAAAACCCACTAGATTGTTCTAAAGAGTTTGTTAAACATTCTAACTACAGCATGAGAAACTTTATTTTAGGGCTTCAGACCATAAGAATTTTGATAAACTGAAATTTTATTATTTTGACTGTTATGCATATACATGACTAGAAATGTTTCTTAAGTGACATCATCTTTTGTTTAAAAACCATTATGGGTTCTAAAGTCATATCAATGCTGAAAACTAAAAGTTTGAATATGGTAAGTAGGTTGTGAAAGTAAGACTCTCACAAGCTGTTTTATGTATTTCCTACTTTTTTATTTAGGAACTTACTTGTGGCAGAGGGGAGTGATCCTGGGAATTGAACCTTTGTTTTTAGATTTTTAAAATATTTGATACCACCAGGTCTAGTATATAATTATCAATTTGAGAATCATCCAATTTTTATGTCTTTTTGACACTAATTTTCAAAAGTTAAATACTCTCCAAAGTATCAAATTAGTTGTCAAAACCAACCAGCCCTGAATATAGTGTGTCACTAAGCCCACAGGTTCTAGTCCTCTGGGTTTTCTTGTTTGATCTCTGACAGTTTGGCCATCTGATCTTTCTGGTTATAATTACAGTTTAACTCTGCTCATTGATTTGAATGTTACAAAGTGTGTCTTCTCCATCTGGCAAGACCCATGGGAAATTTTGTTCAGAAGCTCTACTGCTGAGTACTTAATGATGAAGTATATTTTCCCCCTTTGATAAGAACCATGGGGAGTGTTACATTTGATGTTCTTCTGAAAATTAATACAGGGACAAAAGAACTCATTCCACTCCATAATTACCATTTTTTCATATTATAAACTGAAAGATCATTGGTGTAGTTTAGCACTGCATTTAGTTATTTTAGAGAAGAAAAGGCCTTACCTCATAATCCGTATTGTTAAATAAACACGTTTGGGGTTCTGAAAAAGATACAAGTTATTTCATTCCACAACAAATAATAGATTCTTTATCAACCAATTAATACCAAAATATTCATATAACCAGTAGATGAATGGACAACTGTTAATTTTGGGTTTCCATAAGTTTTACCTATCACACAAATTCAATTCATTAAATGCATTATGTATACACACCACAGTGTCCAATTTCACAGCAGGTATCATTAAACGTTACAAGCTTCTCTCCGGTTCTGCATACAGGTGGAGAAGGGCACTCCTGAGGTTTACAGTCTACAGTCTTTGCATCAGTACAGGTACATTTGTGGCAATTAGAAGTCCATGTGTCTCCAGGCTGCAGGTATAAACCAAGTTTAGACGTCTATTCAAATGCAGGAATGAAAGCCAATTTGGATAAAAGTAGAGCAAAACTGTACACTTACAGATTTCTCTTCTCCCAGTGGACCATGACACACTGTTAACACAAAATGATAAATGCTAATTAAATTTGGCAAAATACAACCATCTGTTATTTATAGATAACCAGCAGGTGGCCAATACTGTAATTGGCACTAGGATTTTAGAGTCACAGGATTATGTAGTGCCTTGAGGTAGATAAATCATATCTACCTACTTTAAGCAAACATTCCTTAAAAAAGCATATATATCCTATTTTTATAATCCTCAGTAAAAAAATAATAATCTCAATTTTTATTTTTCTGGCAGTAGTCAATAAATCTCATGGCTACCATCTGGTTTCCTGTTTTATAATCTGACACCTGCCTCCACAATCCTATAAGTCAGCAAGACCTCATAAGGTCACACACAAAGACCCTTTCTCAGCTAAAGTTCCTGATAGAGTTGACCTTAACAACTTTCACATTCATAAAAATGTCCTCCTTTCCTCAAATTTAACACTTGTAAATTCCTGTCTGTCTTTACTAGAAGTTCTTATTCTTATCTCTATTCTGTCCCCTGGAACTTTGTCTCCACCAGGTCCTCTATAACATCAAGGGGATGCCTGGTCCTCCATTATCCATTTGAAGTTCAGGCTTCTCCTGACTGTGACTCCAGTTTTCATTCCACCTAACAGCATCCCAATGCACCTACAGGAACCTCAAACTTGATGTGCACACAGATCATATCATCTTGTTCCTAAAAATCAACTTTCTGGACTGTCTTTTTCCTATTAAGGACCAAACTATTCTTTCAATCATTCAAGCTTAAAACTTATGAACAATTTTGATTCCTTCTTTTCTGTCTGTCATCCAAGCTACTGAAAGTCCTATATCTCCTACCCTGCCTTGTCATACTGGCTGCCAATCTACCCCAAGACTTTACCCCAATACCTTACTATTTTGAATATCCTCCTGATCCAATCAGTTTTCTATATCATAGTTAAAACAATTGCCTTGGGAAAATTCTCCATGTTTCTTTGAAGAGCTTTCTTCCAATTTTACCTTATGGTAAAGAATGATTCTTTTGTCTGTGTTTTGGAATTTTTCCTACTTGCCACAAAGCATACTTTATTATCTCAAGAATAGTGGGAACTTGGGCTGGGGTTGTGTAAAATTTTAGTAGAATGCTTGCCTAGCACACATGATGCATGGGGTTAATCCTCAAAACCACATTAAAAAAAATTAAACTAAAAAGAATAGTGAGAACTCAATGAAGTCCTTTAAAATTATTGAATCATTTCTTAAGATTAACCCTAAGAAAGTTAACCACTTGATACTGGGCATTTAAAATGCCCACTAAGTTCAAAATATATTTCAATCAAAATACATACAAAGTTTGCCTACTAGTTATTTCAGGTAATGATGTCATGTTTGTTTTGTTTGGCTGCACTAGTAGTGAGGATAAAACCCATTATTTGTGATTTATTTGGTGATTGGAAGCTACATTCATCCACTTCAAGTTTGCTAATAACATTTCCATGGCTAGGGACTTTTGTTGGCCCTTGTGAATCACGTTTCAAAGCTATTGCCATTACTGCAGAATGATTCTGCAATGGAGCTGTTCTTACCTGGAGCTGGTGGAAGTGTTGCTGGGCATCCTATGCAAACATAGAAAACTCATTAGTACCTGAAGTTCAGGAATAGTGTTTGGGATAGTTACTTAATTCATTATTCTATTGCTGGGGGTAAATGGCTAGGTAGCCAGACTTACAGCTGTATTCTCATCTATTCTAACATTACTTTCTGCTCCTCATGGTATTTGAGAGCCCACCATTACAAAGTGTTTCCTTTGCACTCCAAATTTTAATGGGACAGAAAGGAGAAAACATGAAGATAAAATTTGCTTCAAAATTTTCTTGGAAAACAGTTCCAATAAATAAGATGATAAAATAAGAAAAATTCATGTATAGAAAAATCTAATTACTATCTAATTTTAATTCTCTAGGAACTTTTCTCTTCTGGATCCTCTCCCCCTACCAAATGCTTTAAACTGGTCATATTTCTTTATCCTCTGGACCCTTCACATATCACTTATCTATATTAACCCAACAATCCACTCAAATCTTAAATTATATTTCAAAATCACCAAAACATAATTGGTAGGTACAATAAAAAATAAGGCTGACAGAAACAACAGAATACTTTAGAAGAACTTAAAAATGCTACATTTTTAGGTCAAGCAATTCCAACAACTAATAGCTACCAAAAATAGAGATATGAGTAAAAGATGTGGACGTTTCAGGTAGTAAATGTCTCTAGCTCCTTGACAAGGTAGACTACAGTAACTCCTAATCATAAATGCTTAGAAGAATAATAGAAACCAGTAATAGGAGAGAGATCAACAATCAGGCATAAGTACAGAAGAAAAGAACAATCTTCTAAACTGGGCATGGTGGCACAGGCCCGTAATCCCAGCAGCTTGGGAGGCTGAGGCAGAAGAATGGCGAGTTCAAAGCCATCCTCAGAAATTTAGTGATGCTCTAAGCAACTCAGTGAGACCATGTCTCTAAATAAACTATAAAAAGGGATAGGAATGGGGCTCAGTGGTTAAGGGCCCCTGGGTTCAATCTTTAGAACCCCCCCACCAAAAAAAAAATCTTCTAATCTCCACATTGCTCTTAGAGTAATTTCTCTAAAACCATCTGATCATATCATTCTCTTGATAAAATTTGGAAAAGGATCTCATTACTTAAAAGGATAGAATCTTATTTAAGATTGAAAATAAAATCTTTCTACTTTCTAATCTCATTTCTTCCTTAGGCCTCCTTCCATCATTGCCAATAACTCCTTGATTTCTGAACTCACCTTTGTGGTGTTATGCCTGTTTTCATAGGCAATTGACAGGAATTCTCTCCCTGACCACTCAGTAAACAATCATCTCCTTTCTGAAGCCTTCATTCACAACTATAAGTAGACATGAACTCTCTACTCTCACCCTGCTTTTCTGAAACCATGTTTTATTTAATGGTAACCTATTTTAGGTTACCATTAAATAGACTATAAAGTCTATGCCCATAATAATCTCCCTCTTCCTTGACACACAAAAGATCATAAAACGGCAAGTACTATAATCTTCCTGATGGTTTTGCTCTTAAGTCTGCTACAGAGTCTAGCACATAGGAGGTAATGAATAAATATTAGCTGGATTAGTAGCACAGTAATTAGGTCTTCTCCCATTCTGACCTGTTTTATTTTCGATTTCTTGATTCTCTGTTGCTACTACAGTGGTTTCTGAAGCGAGATAAAAGGATGGTATTATGATTTTTTAAAATTAGAATAATAAGCATACATATCAAATCTCGGTGTGTGTGCATGCCCAAACAATGGCACAAATTCATAACACAAGGCACAGTGCTTCATATGGAATAGATAATTCCTTCTAGTTCATTCGGGTCAGTCCATTTTACCTGGCTGAGATACTTGTGGGCCTGTTGTGACTCCAGCTGTAACTGAAGTGGAACCTGCCAGAGGAAATAAATAGAAAGTTTCAGAACTAACACCCTTCGTAATCCCTTTCTCAGAAATCTCAAGCTTCATGAATGTCTTTAGGACAGAAGCCCTGAGAAAAAAGGCCACCCTAGCTGGACTCCAACATTATGTTCTAATAGGAAGTTTAACTTCATCTTCCTGGCTCCTCTATCCCCACATTCACCTCCTAAAGTGTCATCAAAGCCATCCCAGTTAAGGAAGAGGTTGTGTAGCCAACATTCACCTGTTTGCACTGCAGTGCTTGAAGTTTCCTTGACTCCCGTGGAAGCAGTGGCTGCTAATAGAGGAACAAGAGTGAGTGCCGAGGATTGAAGAAATGGGTTCACTTCAGATAATCTCTCCTGTCATCAAGACACCTCCAAGAAAAGTCCATGTGGGTGCATTTTACTTACCTGTGGTAGTAATTCCAGCAGTAGTTGTTTCAGATGATTCCTTGGGGGTACCTAAAATGAGCAAGGGAAGAACATACAGGTTTTCTGATCTCCAAAGACCAAGTCTTTTAAGACACCTCCACATGCAGGAAGAGTCTCCAAGCTGACGGAGTGCACTAATGCATCTCATGCGAGTTCAAGCCTGGGCCACAGAAACAATAAGAGGTCTCCCTCTTAGTTGCTCACAGAGGTGGATCCAATGTTACTTTGATCCCAATAAGTTTTTTACTTGTAGGTCTCTCTAAGTGGCAAGAGCTTTTCTCTCACTTAACTCTTCTCTTTCCCTCATCCCAAACTACTATAAGAAAACCAGGAAACAAAGTTACATGAAATAAAAGAGTGAGAGAAAATGAAAAAAAAAAAAAGCATCTTGGTAGACCAAGATGACCTCATGTTCCTCTCGGCTTGATTAAACTTTAGGCATGTTTCTTCCTAGCAGCAGGCTCCAGACTTGGAAGAGGAGGGGACAATGCGTGGAATGTCTTTTTTCCCCACCTTCAACAGTGACTGTAGTGTAGGACAGATCCATGTGTTTTTGTGAAACAAAGTATTCCTTCTCCAGGATTCCTTGTACCAAGCAGTGAAATGATGTGTTTTCCCTGTTTAGTTCTCTGGGATCCTTCTCTGAGTTCTTCCCCTGGAAATGGGAATCTTACCCCCGTCTCCCAGCCTCACCTTTTTCAATTCCCCTTGTTGACTCCATTCACTTCTGAACCTTGGAATCATATTGGTGACACATGAAAACTAAATACTGGGAAGGACTAAGAATCTTGATATTTTAATACTTTCAAGATGGTTTCTCCCTTCTTTCAATTTTACTGCCATGAGACTAAGTACTTTAAAAAATGAATCTTATTTAAAAATGGGTCCTCAGAAAATTTTTATTGATCTTGTTTAATCAGATTCTGAAGCTCCAAATTAGAGGCAGCATGGTCTCCTAGTACAGTATGTACATGCCAGCACTCCAACACTGGCAACTGTGAAGCAGAAACATGCCTGCTCCCCTGGCACCTTTGCCATGCTTTAGGTACTAGTAAACCCAAGAAACTGTTTTAAATAATCACATAGAATGAGGAAACAAAGTCATCAGCACCCATGGTTTCAAATATCATTTGATTCTGGTCCTGCATTGAGTATTTACTTCTGGGAAGCTAAGTCCTAACAAAGATGTGGTTAATGTAATCTTTAGTTCAGGAAATTCCACAGAATTATTATGACCAATTATGTCCTATCAGATAGGACATGAGATTGAGAAAGTGAAATGGAAGGAAAGAAAGAGATCACAATAGTTACAGTAGTGATTGTTTTGCCTTGAATAGTGTGGATTTAAACTAATACAAATTGTTTCTTATAAGCAGTCTCTTAATGCAAGAGAAACAAACACCATGCTTTTTTTTAATCCTTCAAACCAATAGATGGCAAAATTCTCAGCCATTTGCTATAGTTTAATACTTTGGGAATAAGTGCTTTATCTCTGCTCACCTGTGTTACTTCCTGTGACTTGCTTCTCTGGTGCTTCTGTAGAAACTCCTTGGATTTGGGGGAGGTAAAAAATTTTTTAATTAAATTTGTTAGGACCTTAGTATTGAGGACAACTCCATAGGAATGGCTTTTATACTTAAGAGAAGGTTAAATGGGTGACTACTAACCAGGACTGGAATTTTCTGGGTGCCTAGAAACTGTAGTTGAACCTGAAGTAGTACCTACAAAAGCAAGATGGATTAAGAGTAACAAGTTATATTTAGCTTCATATAATCACATTTAAAAGGCTGGTGAAAATCAGTGTAGAGAGCAAAAGAACCAAGCCCGATTCACCTGACAGATCATCTTCAAGTGAAATACAAAACACTTCTCCAGCCCCTCTCACTCATCCATCATCTACCCTAATCTTAGAACCTAAAAGGCTGAAAGAACAAACCACTCACCAGTTTCCAATTTTACTCCAGTGGTAGGGATGACTTCTGTAGAAGTGGTAGCCCCTGAGAAGAAATAGGAGAGAGTGGTATAGAATATGGACATTTTGAGAAATATGTAACTGTTACTTTACATAATATGCCTTTGATGAGCTATTCAGTCCTCTGAAGTTCACAGAGACAAACTTCTCCCAATTCTTTCATGACTCACGTGTGTTGGAACTCCTGGGAGCAATGGTTGTACCAGTAGTTATCCCAGTGGTAACTGAAATCACAAAAGGAGAAGATCACCTTGTTAATTCCCTTTTACCTAAAATTAGGATTTGTTTCAGAATAAATTTGTTTTAGTTCACTTGAAAAACTCAAACTTTCTTGCCTTACGTGGTATATCACATGTGGTCTCAATTATGCCACTTCAATTCAAACAGAAAGGGCAATTCACCTGGGATAATGTCTTAACATTCTGATAATTTGTACTAAAAGACATCTTGAATATAATATCTGCTGTATTCATTATAGCCAACATAATTCAAGATGAGGAAAATATTACCCATGCTAACTTTAGCTTCTGTGGTTTTGTCATGTCCTAAAGTTGTGGCCTCTAAGAATTGAAAGGAAAATCACAGAACTCAGAAAAGTTTGGTGTCTTCAACTAGGAATGTGGATGTTTTAGGGGAGGGATATCTTGTTATTGAAGCTCCTTATATTCCTTGTTAGGTTATGGATTTACCTGTGTTGGAACTTTCAGATGGAATTGTTGTGCCAGAGACCACTTCGGTGGTACCTAAAGTAGAAGAAAGGGAGAGAAGGAAAATCAATTTGGTTTACCTTACCATTCCAAGAATGTGACCAACAATGACTGACTCAAAAGCAATAGAAGGCCTTTTTTGGGCTCACAAATTCAAAGTTACAATGAACACATTAAAATGTGGTCTAGTCATAAAGTTTTACTTCCCTGGGGTCTTCCCTACCTTTACCTGTTTCACTTTCAGAGCTGCCAGTGGTAGCTCCTAATGACAAAAATATTTGTGTCAATGCATTCAGCAGTATTCAATGAATAAACGTATAACACCAAGAGTTATTCCCATCACCTCTGCTCCTCTATTAGAACTCAATGAATATGGATTGCCGCCATTTGGGACTTGGGTGATAGCTTGAATGTCAAAAGGGAAAATCTTTTTGGACTCTGAACCTCTTCAAAATTATAGTTTATGATCTGCCCCCAAAAGAAATGATATAATTTTCACAAGCTTCATCTAACAAATGTATCCATGAAAAGGCTAAGGCCAAATATAAATCGGTGGGATCTCGAGAGTTGCCAATTCCATTTTCATTGGTTATGCTTCCTTCTACAGGAGTTGTGCCTTTGTGAGAGTCAACAGGAAGAAAGTAGGGAGGGCTAATGGAAAGTGATAAAAAGCTATAGTGCAATACTTGTTCCAGAGCCAGCCCCACAAAATAAATATGGCACCTGTTCTTCATTAACATTCCTGACTAACCTGTGTTGGAATTTCCAGGTGAGGTGTTGCTGCCAGGAACCGCTCCAGTAGTATCTAAATGTAAAATGGAAGGGTATCATTATGCCAATTTCATTCCTATCAGAAGGATGTATGCTAGAATAGGAGGGAAAAATTATAGAAGCTTTTATTGTAGGGAAAGACCATTCTCAGGGAATGTTTGTTCCAAAGTTGTTTTGAGTTTCTGCCTAAAGCTTCATTATCAAAATGAACTTGGTTGGTGGAGGATGGAGTAGGGGTGGTCTCTGTGTTAGGGAAATAAAGTAATCTTTCTTTCCTCTTCTGGCTGAATACCAATTCCTTGGCTACCAAAACTACTTTCAGTAGAAGCAGCAGCAAAGCAGGAATTGATTACTTACTGAGTTTGGGTATATTTGGGTAATATACTGCTGTTATAGAAATTTTAGCATTCTAGAAAAGTTGAGACAAGAAATATTAATGAGCAAGTTAGTTAATATCTCTGAGCCATAGGTTTTCTCATCTGTAAACTCTGACAAGAATCATATTCACCTCACAGTCAAATAACAATAGTGTAGAATAGTTGCAACTTGCGAATAATTTTGTTGTGCCTCACTGTTGAAAGTGGAGAGGTTAAGAAGCTTTTATAATCACCTGTATTCTTTCCAATTCCTGTGGTTTTACTGACTCCTGAGGATGTTGTAACTTATAAGAGAGAAGAAAGGTAGAAAAATATAAGGTGACAAGGCTTTAGTATTTAGAGTAAAGAATATACTTTTCTTGAGAGCTATACTATGAGAGACACAGGTCATCCTGTGGGAGATTCTTGCTAATTTGTTGGCTCACCTGTATTTGAACTCCCTGGTGCCAGTGTGGTGCCAGAAGCTGTCTTCATGGGTTCTGCAACGAAAGAAAATGGCAAGTTTTTCTCAAGTTGGGGAGGGACAAATGTGGGAGGAAACTGGTTAATCTGGTAAGGTTTTTCAACTGGGAGTGAGTTAGTTGTTTGCTCATGCATAGCTTTTTAACAAGTCAAAGAAATATACAAATTTCTTAACACTGGGACCCACCTTTTCTGGAATTTAATGGCAGTAAAACAAGTGGCCCCTTTTCCTGCCATATTTACCTACTGTGCTTCCAGTTCCTTGGTTTACTGTCTCTTTGGTAGCTCCTGAAAAAATGAATGTGGGAAAACTTTTCAATATAATGGTAGACTTGAGTTATAACCTCCACATATCTTAGTCACTATGTGCTTAGTGAAGAATCTCCCATAATGAGATAAATTTTTTGTGTTCAACTTGGGTTTCTATTTACCTGAAATAGTACTCTTTGAGACTGTAGTTCCTTCAGGTGATACTGTGGTGACAGCTGAGAGTACAAATGGAAAAGAAAAATTTCCACATAATTATTTCCACTCACATTTTCGGAGATCTACTTATGTCAGGCTGGGCCATTTCTGCAAAGACTTCAGAAAATCTGCCCAAATTGACTCAAAATCAAGTGACAAAAGAAAGCATCGCTGATGTTAGATGAGAGTTCCTAAACATGAAATTATTTCACCAAAAAGTAAAGAATAATTCTAATTTATCACGGAAAAATCACATACACACACACATACATCATTAATTCTCATCTGTTTTCCATCCTAACAAAGTGGTTCTACTGACTCCTGTGGAAGCTGTGGCTTCTGGAAGATAGGAAACTGTAGTGTTATGCTCTTACAAGAAAGCAATGCAAAAGATATTTTTGTGACCTTACTTCCAAAAAGGGAAGTTTCTTCTTGCCTTGTTAACCTACCTGTACTAGAACTTCCAGGTGCAACAGATGTGCGTAGGGTCACACCAGTAGTGCCTGAAACAAAGGCCATAAAATCAACATAAGAATCATCCACATTCAGGTAACCTTTTAATAAATGTTTCTTGGGCTGCATCATCCCGCAGTCCTGCACTGGACAGCTCTGGGAGACACCAGTGTTCTCTTAGAACACTTTGTCTATGTGGCAGTTCTAGGGGCATGTCCTTTCACTGATCTTTCTGCTCCTGGATTCAATCATGTATTTTGCCTGCATATCAATTATTCAATTTTTCCAGTAAATATTTACTGAGTCCTGTTTAGTAGTAGGCATCAGTGAACAAAATAAAAAAAATAATTTTCTCAGGAACACCATCTTAGAGTAGGCTTGCTTAACATACATAAAGTACAATCCTCAAATGGGAGACAGAAGAATTTGTTTAACAAATTTACCTCTGACTTTCAGTGACGTGGTTTCTGATGATTGAAAGAAAATGATTCAAGCATGTTTTGACCTTTAATCAGTGAACCGACCCTTAAGCAACATATTTATAGTTTAAGAAGTCAAATGGGAGGCAATCAATTTTTTATTTCACTTTAAGTATCCTGTTTATCTGAGTCTGGACCTTCTAGACTAGCATTCACTCTTGCTAATACTGCAAAATAATACTTATAATTTCCAATGGGTTAACTGTCCAGCAAATCACTTCTGCTACCCTCTTCAGAAACCTATACCAAAAGGCCAGGCACTGAAAATGACTAGTACAGAAACTGTCTTAGTGGTGTGTGTGTCAGCAGCATGGTTGGCCTGAGTATGGGCTGGAGCACCTGCCCTTCCTGTAAAATAATCTTTTACATCCAGAAGCAAATTCCTGAATGTTTTCGAGGATAGTGCTAACATCTGGGACCTCTAGTTCTCACTGATTTCATCACAGTAGCAATGATGGTTTCTAAGTAAGCTTTGGCCTCTGGAGGAGGAAATGATGAAGGCAGAAAGCACATTTGGGGATGCATATTTCTCCTTGAGGTTAAATAATTGTTACTAGTTTGAAAATATTTGTTTACCTGTAATGGAAGTCTCAGGTGCAACAGTTGTGTCAGAGACTACACCACTGGTACCTGGAATCACAAGGAAGAAGAGATAGTCATTTCCTTTATATTTAATATATACTTTTAAGGCCTATTCTAGGATTTCTCATACAATTTCCAAAAAGTGCATTTATTTTTCCACAAATGTAGGAGAGGTGCAAAAATCTAAGCTCTCACAAGAGATGTCTCCTTATTCTGAAGTTTGGGAAATATTTGTAATTTTTCACGCTTTCATGTTTGATTATCGGAAACTTGATCCCCACATACAGAGTTCTTGACTATTGAAGAAAAGATAATATGTTGAATGTTAATGTAAGGATTTGGGAACAGCACTGATATTCCGAAATTTGGAGACTCGAACAAAAGTTCCCTTAGGTTGAAATAAATACAGAATGATTTCTACCTTTAAAATTGTTAGAAGGAATTTACTAACTGCTTATTTTTACCTGGGACTGTTATTGCTTCACTAATTCCTAAGATAGTTGTGGCCTCTGAAAAAGGGAGGAAATAGTAGTGAGGACAAAGATTTGAAGTATCTGAGAAAAGTATGATAGGATCAACTGGTGAGACAACTTACTGAGAAACCCTACCCAAACAGTGGTCCTTCCCAGCTTGTTGACTTACCAGAGTTGGAGCTCTCATGAGCAACTGTTGTAGCAGAGGTTACTACAGCAGTGCCTAAACAGGGAAAAGAGAACAAGGTGACATGCTCCTAACTCTGAGGCATATTGTTGAGACATTCTTCTGTGCCTTGGAAGAGCAAAAGATACTTCCTGTACTCATAACTGACATGAGGAGACATCTTCCATGTCCACAAGCTGCTTTTTCAAGACCAAGGGTAATGTAGTGACTAACATCCCTACTGATTATTTCTTTTTCCCAAGCTTGAGGGTTATAGCAAAGGCATTTCCCATGTTTACCTGTCTTACTTCCTGGTGCTTTGGTGGTGGCTCCTAATTTAAAAAGAAAAAAAAATGGTAAGAAAATGTATTTTGAATTTTAATTTTGTCTTTTTCTTTATAAACAATAGTATAAATGTCATTTCTGGATTTTTTTCCAGTGCTGAGGATCAAATCATTGGCTTTACATGACTGAGCTATACCCCTAGCTGAATTTTAATGATAACCGAATGATCTCTATGCTGAATAGAAGTCAGTAATGTTATATAGATAAAGCTCTTTTTAAAGGGGAAACCATTTCAGAGCCAGGACTATTGTAAATATTTTCTCCAGTGATCTAGAACCCTGATGAGGTTAGTCTCCAAGAAGGTAAAGACTTTTAGTTATCTGTGCCCAAGTAGGTCCAAATTAAAAAAGAAATCCTGGAAATATAACAGCCTTAAAAAAACTCTTCTCCATGTTAAAGAAATTTTCTGTCCTGTGTCTGTACATTTTCTGTAATTTAAAATTATTAAAAAGATTTTTAAAATATTAATACCAGCTTTCTCTAACAAATCTATCAACCTGGCATCACACTACAGCAAAATTAATGAAAACCCCATGATTTCACCTGACTTTATTTCTACTCCAGTGATGTCACTTCTTCCAGAGAAAGTTGTGATCTCTTAAAAAAGTAGAGAATGCCAAATAAACTTGGTACTGAGGAAGAGGAATGAGCTAAGGTGATGTTACCAAAAGTGATGAGCACAATTGAAAATTCCTTGTCATAGGTGAAGTCAGAAAATGAAGCCCTTTTTATTGTAAAAGTGATGTCAAAAGTCAATGCACAAGTTTAATTGTCTAAAATTGAGGATTAAATATTTTTGACTTAAAAATGTCTTTCAACAAATCATAACCAAAAGCAAATTGATATTTTTTCCAACTTGAGGTATTTCTGCATAGGATTTGATAGAAGGAATACTAAATGCTTTTCTTTAATGTTTCCCCAATTGGTGCAATGATCCTTACTGTACAATAGATAAGTTTAATAAGTGAGCTGAAAACTTTGAATATCAGAGCAAGTAAATTTTTATATATACACATGCATGTGTACTGGTTCCATGGGGTGTCTCCCCCTCTCTCACACTGAATTCTACAGTTTTCAGCTAAATACTGCTGATTGAGAGTTGTAACACCTGCAGAGAAACTATCATCAGATTTGGAGCAGTCAAGCTTAATGCTTAGATTTTTCAAACTTATTTTGATTCACTTGAAGCAGCTCTAAATATAATACAAACTCTCTCAAGGATTAAGTTTAGAGAGTCCTAATGCCAATGATCTCAAATCACGGGCCATTGTATTCTCACCGGTTTTGAAACTAGTTCCAGTCTCTTCTGTAGATGTTGTAGACTCTGAGGGAAGAAGTAAGAGAATGATAAATCTGGGACTGTGGAACACTAGGAGGAGCTAGTGCCATTTTATCATAGCAGCCCTAAAGGAAGTATCATGGCATCTGAGGTTCAATAAAAGGCATTTTCTTCTTGTTAACCTGTGTTAAAATTGCAGGTATAATCTTTTTTGTTTTCAGAAAATTTTCCAGTGATACTTAAAATGCAAAAAAAAGTAAACCATAAGGCATCACTTCTCCAATTAATCTTGGGAGCATCTGTGTGGCCTTAAAGCACCGGATGCCCTTTCCACAGAACAGTTTCTCTCAAAAATTAATGGAAAATAGACTACTGCCTAGTGTTCCATTCCCCAGGCCACCTGAGGGTAGATATACTGCTACTGGGTTTCCCTTTTACTATGCAGCAGGAGGAAGGATAGGACTTTAGATCACTGTTTCACATCCAGAGATATATACCCTTAAAATACCAGAGGGAGAAAATAAAGTATGATTTTAATATTTGTAAGGGGATTCTAATAGTTCCTTTATGAAGCATTCTAGTAAGAAAAAAATAGAAAACATAGAATAAATGAAAAATATGACAATATGAAAAACTATGGAAGAAAAGTTAAATAGATGAGAACTGGAAGTCAAAGGAATATATACAACATGCTCTCATTTTTTTCAAAAGAAAAAGTCTCTAAGCCAGGATTCTGAGGACAGCCTGGCAGACACTCTCCAGGCCATGGAATTCCCGAGCAGAATAACTGCTCAGATTGTTAGGACACAATGTGGCCCCAGAGAGAATGCTGGTCCCTCCGGCATACTATTCATTCACTACAACAACCCAAATATAGATATGAGGAGAGCCCTAGACCTCAACCTGGAAAGCTTACCAGACAGACCTGCTCGAGTGGTCCTGTGGTCTCCTGCGAAAGTTGTGGCCTCTGAGAGAGAAAACAATGGAAGTTATAAAGACTGCACAGAATGTAAGGGGGGTCTAATGGAATACATTGACCAAAAGGTTATGTTCAGGATTCCTGACCTGTGCTGGCACTTCCAGGTTCCAGAGTTTTGCCAGAGATTCCTTTTGTAGTGACTAAAATAAGAATAGAATTTGTGGTTATTTGGTCTATTCATGATCCTTCATAAAATGGGTAGAAATTCTTGAAACAAAACTTTGTTTCTTCAAATATAGCAATACATTTTTATATTTGAGCTTTATATATTTAAGAGGTAATTATACTTTTATACACTATTCCCTTCCAAGTTTAGAGAGAAAGTCCTCCGCTACCAGTTCCTTTTATACAGTTTAGTTATAGGGAGGTGAATTTAGACCCAAATCACATTCATACATGTCAGGAAATGAGCCCTATAATCTCCTTATGAACGGTCCTGAACAAAAGACATGAGAAGGAAATGTTAAACATTTCTGAGCTGTATTTATTGATATCAAATGTTGGGCTGATATTTTTAATATGGCAAATGGAAATTTAAGGATATCTATGTTTCAGGCAAGACTATTGGAACATCTTTAGAAAGTATAGTTTGTGCCTCAACAGAGCTCACCTGTGATTAGTTCCTCTCTTGGTGTTTCACCTTCTCCTACAGAAGTTGTAGCTTCTAAGAAGGGGTAAAACAAGAGATAGATAATTGGGAAGCCATGGTAGTTCTCCCACAGAGGGGAACATGGAAGGAAAAATCTCATTGAAGAGGGACTTGTGGAAGATTCTCTGGCACCTTAATGACTTACCTGTGTTGGAACTGCTAGGGGCTACAGTTGTAACAGGGGTTATCCCAGTGGTGGCTGTAAAACAAAGGGTCTGAAATCATCACAGTGGTTCACTGTGTTTGTCTCCTTAAGACCTGTTTCTAGAAAGAAGCTTGGTGTAGCATTTTCAAAGAGCTCTTTCCTTGCTTCCCAGTCAGATGAGAACTCTGTGCATCTCCTATGACCCATATCATTAAAGCAATCAAAATAGGTAAATCTTCCTCCAAGGAATAGAGTATGCTTTAGCTCCCCTAATACTTTTGTGATATATATATATATTATGGAAGACACCCTTCATTCCAACTATACAACCAGCCAAGCTTGAGAAAGATACAGGTTTGAGGCTAGATGCTGGTAATAAGACCTTTTCCAGAATATGTTCTGTATAAGAAAATACCTAATGTAACTGAGAACCATTCTGCAGAAAAGTTTATCTCCAAACAAGTGAGCCTATAGAGAGTCATAATTTATACTAATCCCCCTATGGTAGTCTGTTCAGCTTCACCTGCTCTGGATCCATTTTCAGAAGTACTGCTGCTTTCTGTTGAAGTTATTGCCTCTAAGGGAGGAAATGATAAAATGATAAAGTTTGGGAATTTGGGATCCTGAGATAATAATTATACTAATATATCATCTGAGCAGGTCTACTAACTATGTTATAAAGTTAAATAAATATGATAGCCTCTCATTAACCAACTTGTGTGGAAACTTACAAATATAAGAATTGGCCTAGAGAACTCCCCTATATTACCCAACACACACACAAAAATAAATGGATAACCATAGCACTAAATTCTTGATGAGTAGCTACATGAGCTGATACCATGGGACAGAGAAGGTCTGCCTCTGAGAAGGGACACACAAATAACTACGATTTTATTTCCTAGTCCACCCATCAATCACTGTTACTCTTCCAGGCTCTCTTTGTACAGCCCACTAAACATGGAAGAGTATCTCATCTCCCCCCCTTACCTGTTTCACTTCCAGTCCCAGGTTTCCCTGATGTGACTGAGGTGCCTTAAAATAAGAAAAAAGGTAGATGATGGATTCATCTTTCTTATTTTTACTTTTCTACTACTTGAAGTATTCTGGTATTTCAAAGAGAACTTCTGAACTCTAAAACTTTCAAATGATGATTTTATTTATTCTATCCTGGTCTAGCTTGGAACTCAGTGTACTACTGATGACTCCAGGTAAAATCACAGTGGCATCCATTAAATAGATGGAAAATCTTTAAAACTATACATTTTTAACCATATCTTCTCTGCACTATTGATGTATCATTAAGCTAAATATTCAAATATCTCTTTCCTAATGTAGTTCACATTTTGCCAACTGGAGACAGCAGAGAACAATCATGCATTAGATGTTAGTAAATTCTGTGGGGGGAAAAGGCAAGTTGCATAAAGATGGGGGTCCTGATAGCTAAGGGATGACTAGCAGGTTGCTCTCCTCCCTGCTTTCCAGCAGATAGCTCTGGTTCCTGGAAATCCAGATAGAAAAGGACACTGCTGCTAACCCCAAGTGAAACTATGACAGTACCCATTGAAGTGAACAGTGTCACACTCAAACTAAAATTTTTAAGCATTTCCTTAGTGTCTTCTTTCATGGGGAAGAACAAAGATCTGTGTTTCATGTGATTTGTATTTGCAGAGGAAGGAACACAGAAAATAAACAAACATAATATGATAGATGGTAGCACATGATAAGTACACTATTCTGAGGAATCATAATGAGCAGAGTGGAGATAATGGGGAGTAGTGAGCAGCTTCTATAGGTTGGTGAGCCTCATCCAGGTGTCCAAAAAACTATCTCAAATAGAACACAGAGGAAATACTGACTTGGATAACCATGTTTCTCAAGGTCCTTAGAAGAACTACCTGAGGTTGTCAGATGATGATATCATGCTTCCTGACCAGATGTAACTATCTTTCTTTAACCCACCTCCATATTTATTTAAGGACACAAAATAGGTGTCATACTAACAAAGCTTATCATTTCCCTAAGAGTTCTTACCTCTTGGTCCTTCAGATTGGCTGGTCTCACCTCCTCCTGTGGAACTTGTGGCCTCTGGGGGAAAAAAAGCATTTTAAAGTCTGGAATATGGGGAAGTACATGGTTATATCACCTTAGGAACACATTACCTGATAAAGCACTTGGGGAACCTTTCACAATTGCTTTTGACTCACCTGTGTTGTGATTCCCAGGTTCCAGAGTCTTTCCAGAGATTACACTGGTAGTAGCTGTTACAGAAAAGTAGACATGGGTCATTTCCTTCTCATCATAAGGTAGCAAGCAAATATATGAATAAAAATCTATGTAATTGTTTACTATTTCAATAAACTTGGCTTTAAATGACAGAAGATGATCTGTATATTCTTCATATAATATTGTTCCCACCAAAAATCTACCAAAGGAATTTTTAATTATTGTATCCACTTCTGTAGAATTCAGTAACAGAGAGAGACTCTCTCTAGATCATCTGTGTAACTGTCAAATAGTTGCATGATTTCATTCAGGGGGAGCGGGGAGGAGAATCTGCTAAAACATCAGAAATAATGAAACTTTTAGTTCATAAACTTTAGTCAATGAACAGTGGTGATTTTTTTTTTATAATACGGTTGAATAGGGGAGAAGTGAGTGATCTGGATACATTTCACCAGCTTTTGAGTATTATTAGAAATGAATGCACTGGCCTACCAGTACTCACCTATGGCTGTTCCCCCCCTTGTTGCTCCGGTTCTTCCTAGAGAAGTTGTGGCTTCTGAAAGGCAGAAAACAGGGTAAACATTTGGAAAATATTCCAAGCCCATGAAAAAACATATTATTCCTATAAAGAATAACACCAGAGGAGAAATCTCATTATGGGAGGATCACTGAAGAGCTCCCTGACAACCTGAGACTCACCTGTCCTGGAACTGCCAGGGGCAACAGTTGTGCCAGGCACCACCCCAGTTGTGGCTGAAACACAAAGAGGACCATGGTTACCATGGCACTCAGTGTTTTGTTCCTAAAGCTCTGCCTCTAGAAAGAGGTTAAGCTTGTCTTCATCATGGCTAGTTGGTTTATTCCTGGGTTCTTGCCTGATATATTTTCTCATTAATCATTATAGTAAGAAAAACAATGAGAGTGACAATTTTCTCAACCTTCCAGGCATTCTGAGTCAGGGAGACAAGGAGGGCTTCTCCCACACACCCGTTTTACTCCTAGTGACTTGACACTCTGATGCCACAGTGGTACTTGCTGTGGTGGGGACACAATGGAAGGTTTCAATGTGCCGAGAACTCTGGACACTGTGAACATATCTGGCTCTTCATTTATGAAAATCAAACATTTGTACAGTGTAGTTGTGTTTCTTGGGTTCTTGTAGCTCCTCTATATTTCTCAGGAATAGGAAATTTCATCACCCTTTCCCTCTCAAAAGGTTGTGATATTTGTGATTCCACAACATAAATCACTCAGAACAATTAGTGTGACCATCATATCTGATCATAAGAATTATAACTGTTATTCTGGACTCATATTGCAAGCTTTTCAGGAAAATTTTCAAAATTGAAAAGGGAATTAGTTGACCAAAATCTTCAGTAATTAGTAAATATATCTCCAGAAACTTCTCTTTGCATGCTCTCCTAGGATTGCTGTGATTCACGATAACCACGAAGACATGAGTTTATGCCCCTCACCTGTTTTGAATCCAGCTCTGGTGGTGCCAATACTTTCTGTGGAGGTTGTGGCCTCTGGAGGAGGAAGTGGGACAACACTAAGTTCTGGGGATTTGGGATAATGGGACAAGTTATTTTGTACTATTTTTATTAGAGTAGCCCTACAAAAATACATAATTTCCTGTGAATGTCTGTAGAGATGATTTTCTTGTTATTTCAACTCTGTTAGACATTTCTAATTGAACAGATGTCTCAGAGCCTACTCCAGTGATATTTAAAAACAAGACAAAATAAATACAGCAATCTGTCCCAATCCATCATGGAAGCATAATGGTCTCACATGCAAGATCCTCCATGAGGATTTAATGCTCCAAATGACAAATCAAGAATGTCACATTCTCATGTCATCTCAGCTGAAAATTCATAGCTGCCTTTAAAATGAACATCTCTAGACTCTAGATGTTCTGCATTTTTTACTTCTTGTTTCATGTTTCCCTGGAGTATCCAGAGTGACTGTAGAGGGAGGAAAATCAGATGAATATTTTTTCTAAATATCACTTGTGATACTTTGAATATTTAACATGAAATATACATCTTGGGTTCTTGTAACATGCACACATAACACACAACATGCCCAAAACATTCATTTAAGAGTAAAATCCAGATTGGACTTCACTTATGTAACATTACCTGTGTTGGAAGCTTCCGAAGTACTTTTGACTTCAGGAAACACAATGGTGGTATCTGTGAAAAGAAATTTCATGAACTAGGCATAGTGAGAAATTCAACTCTGGCTACCAGGATTGGGACTCAGGAATACTGGGCTGAAGCACCCGAATGCAGGCAGATCCAGAGGGATTAACACTTGAGTTTGGCCTAGCATGGGGTGTCCTTGAGAAAACGTCATCAGTTCCAAATAATGGAACCCACAGTCTCAGAACAATGCTTACCTCCTGGCAGTTCTGTTCTAGTGGTCCCTATGCCAGTTGTGGCTCCTAAGAAATAAAGGAAGGAAAGAAGTTAAGAACTAACATAACTGAGCTACTATATCATCTAAATGACCGCCTCCTGGATTGCTCAGTATGTGGTGATTTACTTGTGATGTAATGTCCAGGTTCCCGAATTTTACCTGAGACACTACCAGAAGTTACTAAAATAATGAAGAAATGGTACTCATGCCAAGCTTGAGCATTGCTATTTAAAATTCTATATTTCCTACCTGTATTAAGGAGTTCCTTTGAGCTTTTATAAAATTTTATGTGATAGCAGAATGCAATACAATTCATATTACACATATAGAACAATTTTTCATATCTCTGATGATATACAAAGTAGAGTTACACCATTCATGTCTTTGTACATGTACTTAGGATAATGATGTCCATCTCATTCCACTGTCTTTTCTACCCCCATGCTCCCTCCATGACCCTCCCTTCGCTTTGCCCTATCAAGAGTTCATCTATCTTCCCCTCCTAATCACATTATGAATCAACATCCTTATATAAGAGAAAACATTTGGCATTTGGGTTTTTGGGGATTGGCTAAGTTCACTTAGCATCATATTCTGCAACTCCATCCATTTACCTGCAAATGCCATAATTTTATTCTGTCTTAATGCTGAATAATATTCCATTGTGTATATATACCACATTTTCTTTATCCATTCATCTATTGAAGGGCATCTAGGTTGGTTCCACACTTTAGATATTGTGAATTGTGCTACTAAAAACATTGATGTAACTGTGTCCCTGTAGTAATGCTGTTTTTAA